AAATAGGTATATCATACCCATTTTACAGATGAGAAACCTAAAGATCAGTGAGGCTAAATAATTTACCCTGGTCACACAGCTAAAAACCCAGGCTAGCTGGGATCAAAACCTGTGCTTGCCTGTCTCCAGTATCTAATACTCTTTTCATTATACCAGACATTTTTCATCCTTATATACATTGTTAATTTCCATTCATTCTTAAACATTCCTTTGAATCTGAAATACTTTCTAACACTATTTTCTGCATTTAATATTGGTGCTCCTTTTTCTAGGTGTTAATCTTTGCCATTCATTTTATTTTCTCATCACTTTTCTACCTATAAACCCACTTATTGCTTAGAAAATAAAACAAGACAATAGCTAAACTAACCTGAAATAAAAAGGAATAATGTACCCGCTTATATTTTCTTAACATAAATATATTTGACCATTGGAAAAATTAAGTTTAAGTGTTTGTTCCTTTTTTTTATTATGTAACAAATATCAGACCCAACAGACTAACAGAATTTAGGAAACAAGCCAGTCCAATATGAATTATTTAGTAAAAATCTAACAGCTTTGGCATATAAAGTAGACTTACATTCTTTCAAACAAAACATTTCAAGCGGCAGTATTTTATTGAACTATTCAGTGAACTTACAGGGAAAATCCTAGGGCAAACAAAGCAGTCAGACTCTACAGAAATGAAAAGTGTAAATTATTAAACAAATGTTCACTGGATGTAGCAAGCTAACAGAAGAAAAAGGAACTAATATTGTTTCATAATTCTACATGTCAGGAATTTTCCGTATCATTTTCTCATTTAAATTAAGTCACACTAAAAAGCACGTATTATTAACCCTATTTTACAAATGGGAAAAATGATGTCTATGCAGGATGCATAACAAGTTTAAATTTACATAGCTGAAAGCTACAAGATCCAGTATCATGACTCATGTCTGCTGAGCTCCAAAGCCCATGCTACCTTACCTCTTCTTAAAAACACCACCAGTAATATTTCATATATTAAACTTTAACCCCATTCGATGTTCTCAATTTGTTGAGGATACTTTCAGCAATAATAGATGAACACTAATTTTATGAATAAGAAAAGTGAATTTTAACCATGGTCTGAGTAAACTATCAGTGTAAGAACATGTATAGCATAATAACACAACAAAAGATATATCTGAAGTATGTCTTCTACATGAATAAAAGTTTGCACAGTACCTTACTCAATTATATACATTTGGGAAAAAAATCACTGAATGTTCACTGTATGCCATGTATTATACAAGGTATTATATTATTCGTCCTGTACTACCACTCTTATTTTGTTAATAATGAGACTCGAAGAGGTCAATTAATCAGCTCAAGATCACCAGCTAGTAACTGGAAAAACACAAGTCATACCTATCTGATCTTCAAATCTTATCAGTTTTTCCTATTTCATATCTATCTCCATCAACAGTCAAGCCAATACAAATATCTTCCACGTGGGTAACTACAGTAATCTTCCAAATGGTCTATGGACATCAATGTTGCTCTATTTTCACTCTCTTCTTTACACTGCAGTCCGAATGACCAAATCTAATTATATCATCTACTTGCTTAAAAATAGAGCACCCTAGCCACTCTCGAAGTCCACCTTTCAGCCAAAGAGTAGATAGGCATATAAAACAAACAGAAACCCTGGTGGCGTAATGGTTAAGTGCTATATGGCTGCTAATCAAAAGGTCGGCAGTTTGAATCCACCAGGCACTCCTTGGAAACTCTATAGGGTAGTTCTACTCTGTCCTATAGGATCACTCTGAGTCGGAATTGACTCAATGGCAAGACGTCTGGTTTTTTGGTTTTATAAAACAAACAATCACACATGTGAGGAACATGCTTCTTAGTTCAATCAAGTATACAAGACCAAATCACCAACACCTGCCCAAAAGCAAAGATGAGAAGACAGGGAGGGACGGGAAAACTGGACAAATGGACATGGGGAAGCTGGGTGGAAAGGGAATAAGGGAGAGTGCTGACACAATGCAGGGATCACAACCAACGCAATAAAACAACCTGTGTAAAAATTTTTGAGTGAGAAACTAATTTGCGCTGTAAACTTTCACCTAAAGCACTATTAAAAAAAAAAAAAAAGAGCACCTTCTTATTGCTTTAAGATGAAGAGGGAAAAAATCCTTATGATGGCATATAAATGCTGGCATAATCTAAACCTTGTTTAACTCTAGACTCTTCTCAAACCATGTTGCCTTAGTTCTCTGCTCCATTCACTTTGGTCTTCTTTCTACCAACTTCAATTTAGTAGTGTTGTTTATTTTAATCTAATGTGGTAAAATTTACAGTTAATAAAATGTACACATTTTAAGTAAACGGATCAATGAATTTTGATAAATATAAGCCCATGTACTCAAAGGAAAATACAGAATATTTCCATCACCACAGAAAGTTCTCTCCTGCATTTTCAATCTCCTCACCTTCCAACTAGTCAACATCTGACACAATTTTGATCACCACAGTTTAATTTTAAAAGGAGCCCTGGTGGCATAGTGGTTAAAGCGATCAACTGCTAACCAAAAGGCTGGCGGTTTGAAACCACCAGTGGTTCTGTGGGAGAAAAATGGGGGAGTCAGCTTCCACAGAGATTTACAGCCTTGGAAACCCTATGGAGTCACTATGAGTCAGAACCTACTCGACGGCAGTGGGGTTTGGGTTAGCTTAATTTCATCTGCTCTAGAACTTTAGTGAATTGAATTAGTCTTATGTTCTCATTTTTATTTGGCTTCTTTCAATCAGAATAATATTTTCATGATTATCAATGTTGTCAGGTTTATCAGTTACTTTATTGCTGAAGAATATACAACAATATGAATATGCAACATTATTTCCATTCATCAGCTGATGGACATTTAAGGTATTTCTAATTTTTTGAAGTTATGACTTAAGCTGCCTAAAATATTCAACTAAAAGTTTTTCTGTTAATACATATTTTCATTTTTCTTGAGTAAATACCTAGAAGCTGAATTAATGGGTTATATAACAAGTGAAGGCTTACCTTTATAAGAACCTACTCAACTGTTTTCCAAAGTGGTTGAACCATTTTATAACCCTACTAACAATCAAGCAGTGTTCCTCATCCTCCCCATCATTAGGTGTTTTTTGTTTGTTTTTAAATTGTAGCTATTCAAGTAAGTGTAGATTTAATTTGCATTTTCATGATGATCAATGATGCTGAGCATCTCTTCATATATTTATTGGTACGTCATATTTCTTTTTTTCTTATTATTGAGTTCTAAGAATTTTGTATATTTATATATGTGCACATGCATATACATGACAGAAACACACACACACATACATTTTGGATATATGTTCTTTATATATATGTATTGCAACTATTTTCTCCAATACTGGGGCTTCACTTTTCATTTTCATATTGGTGTTATTTGAATAGGAGATGGGTTTATTTCTGAAGTACAAATTATCTTTTTTTCTGATTAGTACTTTTTTGTATCCTATCTAAGAAATTATTGCCTGCCCCATAGTAATGAAGATTTTCTCCCCTTTTTTTCTGAAAGTTTTATAGTTTTAGTTTTCATGTTTAATTTTATGATCCATTATGCACTAACGTCACACACATGGTGTTAAGTACGGCTTGAGATTCATTTTGTCACATGGGTATCCAGAAATGTTCTAATACTATGTGATGAATATACAATCATTTCATCATTACATTACGTTAGTGTCTTTTCTGAAAATCAGCTGAACATATATAGGTAGGTTTATTGCCAGATACTTCATTCTCTTTAACTGATCACTGTGACTATCTTTCTGCTAAAACTTCGCTATCTTGATTACCAAAACTTTATGGTAAATTTTGAAATCAGATAGTGTAAGTCTACCAACTTTGTTCTTTTTTTTCAAAGTTGTTTTGACTCTTTTAGGTATTTTTCATTTCCATATAAATATTGGAATCAGCTTAAAAATTTCTGCAAAGAAGACTGCAGAGATTTTGATTGGATTTACATTGACTCTATAAATCAATAATGTAGAGAATAAACTTCTCAATAACAGACTTTTAATGAGTGAATTTTTATTTAGATCTTATTTAATTTCTCTCAGCAGTGTTTGTAGTTTTCATTTTTCAGGTTTTGCACATATTTTTTTAAATTTACTCTAAAGTATTTTATGGTTTTGGGAGTTATTATATTTTTTAAATTATTTATTACCATCATATATAAATACAACCATGGGCTAACTAAACTATCAATGTAAAAACATATATAGCATGCAATTCTGATAAAGGATTTTTATAAATTGACTTTATATTCTACAATCTTAAAAATCCAATTACAAATTGTAGCAATATTTTTGCTAGGTTTCTTAGAATGTTCATTGTACTGAGTAGTATCACCTGTGAAGACAGACAGTTTTTCTTCCTTCTGCCAAACTTTTATACCTTTCCTTTCTTCCTCCTACCTTATTGTACTGGTTATGACTTTCGGTACAATACTGAATAAATGTGTTAAGAGTAGACATCCTTGTCTTATTATCAGTCTTAAAAGAGAAAGCATTCAGTCTTTCACTAGTAAGTGTGATGTTAGCTGTAGATTTCTTCGTAGATAACCTTTCTCAGATTAAGAAAATGCCCTTAAGAATTCAATAAGAATTACTGGTTGATAAAATTTATTTTTGTTTATTTGTATTGTTTTCTTTCAGCACATTATTGTTCCATTATCTTTTGGGCTCAGAATTTTCTGATGGGATGTCAGTCATCAAAAATTGAGGATGATTTTTTTTTTTTTAAATTAACCAACCCTATGCTTTGTCTCTATGCCATCTAATAGTTGGTTATTCATAAATCAGTTCTTATGAATTGAGGGAGATGACTGATATCTTTATAACAAAAAATGAAACACAAAATCTAGAATAAGAGCATTATATCAAGAATTAATGGGATTAACAGTACTGTCATCAAAATAGAAATGTCACTTATTCGGCTTTGGAAAATTTACCTTGTTATAAGTATAGCTGCATCCACTGAAGTCATATCTTCTCCCCAGCTTGTTGACATCTCTAAATGTATATCATTCTTTTTGCCAAATTCTTCATGTTGCCACTTACAAAAACTTTCTAGCATTTTCTCTCCATGGTGCCCAATATATAGATCTGCCTGCCAAAATATATATATATATATATTTTCACTTTAAGGAAATTTATTTTCAGAAGTACAATAAATTAATATCCAAGGGAAATTACTGAATTACTAAAGCAGACTACTGACCATGATATTAGTTAGAATCTGGAAGACATTCAGGATGAACTTAGCCTGAGCTAAAAAAAGGAGCCCTGGTGGCACAGCAGTTAAGTGCTCAGCTGCTAACCAAAAGGTTCGTGGCTTGAACCCACCAGCCACTCTGAGGGAAGACGATGTGGCAGACAGCTTCTGTAAAGATTACAGCCTTGGAAACCCTATGAGGCAGTTCTACTCTGTCATTTAGAGTCACTATGAGTCAGATCGACTTGACGGCAAGGGGGTTGGAGCTAAAAATCTTAAAACATTGTGAAGGTGCAATAATTATAAAATCTGTTTAGTGCTATTTTGGTAAAGGAGAGAGATACAATGGGACATTAAGAATCTGGGAACTTTTAGACTTAAATAACTCATTATTTCTACAACTTAAGAACAAAGGATTTCTAATTTGCCAGCTAAACAGTATGCCAAAATGATATCACTGAATATTCTCCATTTAAAATAAATTACAGATAACAGAAAATGTTAAAAGGACATGTTTAAATAGGAAATTAAACTGTCATTACAACTGACTTTTTAAAATTACATTTTGGAAAGTTAAGGTTTGTTGTCAGGATCCTTGGAAACTAAAAACATTCCATTTTTGGAATAAAACTGAGGTATTAATACCAAAACTAAAGGCCAGACTTATGTACAGTTGAAGTTAGTGGATATTTCTGACTTTTAAGTTATTAAAAAGTACATCCCTAACATTCCCTTTATTTAAAAATACCTGAACACCACTTCTCACCAACTTAACAGAATAAAAAACTCAAGACTTTCTTACTGGGGTTTCATGAAGCAGAATAAGCTTTATCACACGAAGGTTGACTTGCACACCGAGACTCTTGTGTTGGAAAAGGTTAAAGACCTAAAAACAAACAAAAATAAATATTCCAAAATGAAATGGATAAACATTTTAATTTTTCTTAAAGCCCAAACATGGAAGAGGTATTCATTTTATTGAGAAAACTTGCCAAAAAAAAAAACCTTTTTAATTATTTTAAAAAATTAGCTTAATAATGAATAATAGCATAGCTCACTCGCTTTAGATATTAAGAAAATCGGACCTAAACTTCTGTGAGATACTAACTGAAACCTTGATGATCCAGGCACTTCAATGGGTTGGGGAGGGAAGGTTGGACCTTTCACAATATTGCCTACAGGAATTTTTAGTAACTAAGCCCTAGACTTTTTCTTAAACCCTCAAAAATGCTAGTGTCCACCTTTCTTTTGAGAAACAATTCTCCAAACTTAGTCTGCTTTGTACCGCCTCCCAATTCATTCCTTAGGGTTCTTTTTTCCCTCAAGCCTGGCTGCCAAATGGAAACAGGGTTTTTAAAGCCCCACCCTTCAATGCTGCCCAGGAAGATAAACTCACGGTCATTTTTGCTTCATCGTTTTAGATCATCGTTATGACTAGTTTTCCCAAAATATGGTGTTTGTAGCAATACTGAAAATCAAGGTCTTTTTTTTTTAATGAGGTACCTTGACTTTTTAAAAATGTAGCTTAGTATTTATTTCATTTGTGTTAGAAAATATGTAAGTGGCACACCAAACCCATGATTTCAGAGAAAAAGAGGCTAAAAGTTGTTAGGATATTAAGAATGCAGTGGACTATTTAGTTGGTGGCTGAATATGGACAGAAATGACTGAAGTGTGGGAAACTCTGTCCACTGGAAAAGCAACCAAATGGTGGCAAAAAAAATAAAAATGGAAATTTTAAAAAGCATAATATGCTTATCTTTGAATCAATGATTCTTATCCTTCTTTTATTTGGTAAATGGACATAACAAAAGTGTATTTGGCTTTGGTTTTTATTCCTATTTATTCCTCCTTAAAAAACTGTATTCACTACAACCTTCTAATTCTGCCTTGAAAGAAGTTTACCTAACAGACTATGCAATTAAGTCAAAGGATTCATTTGGTAGTTTGCATCTGCAAGAACAAACCAGATTTCTGCAGTCTATACACCATCTCCTGCAACTAGTTACATGTGATTCAGCTGGTTAAAAATTCAGCCATTAGATATCAGGTTGTACTCATCAATTAGAATCATATCTGACACCCAATTTTACATACCTATATAAGAGATCAGTGGATTACCAACCTCTGTCATTGTTTCACCTCGTAATTTATCTATAGTGCTTCTGGTGGGGCCATGCAAACACTGACTATTACATTTCTGCTAATTTAAATAAATGGCCTTTTCAAAAAAGAATGAAGAGAAGGACACACACACACAGGCACAAGGGGGGGATAATAGAGAGTTTTGCCACATCAAGATGAACAATGAGGCTTTTTTTTTTAACTAGAAGATTATTTTGATATGTTAGAGATGGATCAATTTAGTGTATCTAAAGTACTTTTTTACTGATGACAAAAAAGGAAAGAAACAGTAATGAGTTAAGTTTTAAAGAACTTCATCATAAATACTCACACATTTCTTCCTTAGAGTTTTCTTGAAAAAATTCCAAGCGCACTTTAAAGTTTGCCTACCATGTTTAAGATGGTTAGAATGAATCTCCTGGCTGCATCTGCTCCATGATAGGAAACCACTGCTGGGTCTGCAACCACTACAGTCTCTATGTTGTATTCTTGAGGTAATTTGTATGAATACCGTTTCTCTCTTCCACTTTCGGCTATTTTTCTAGACCTAGGTCTTCCTTTATCTGCAATAAAGAAATGAATTTTCAAATGTACCTCCATCTTGACAAAGTGAATAACATTAATCTTTCTTTTTTTAATAATCCAAAAAAAATATTTATTGAACACCAGCATGTGCTGATGATACAATGGCAAACAAAAGCAAGTAAGTTTCAAAAGCAAACAAGGTGTCAGAATCTAAAAGGAACTTTGGTTTTGGAGTATGACTTTGGAATCCAACATACCAACTTCTGTCATTATCAGTTGTGTCATTTTGGGAAAGTAACATAGCCCACTCAGCCTCAGTTTCCTCATCTATAAAATGGATAATAATAACACCTACTTTCTAGAGTTGGTGATGGCTCATAACAAGATCACATTAGTAAAATTTCTAGCACAGAGCTCCATATAAACAAAATAACTCAATAAATAAAAGATACTATGATTTCCTTTTTAAAACCAGTGGCAAATAAAGATCTACTTGCTAGAGGTGCCTAAAGTAACTTCCCTATTGATCCTAATTTCAGGCATATGCCCCTAATTACAAAATCATTATAAATGGGTTCCTTGTGAGTTGGCTCTGCCATTTATCAGGCTCACATAGAAGTTATGACTTTAGGGTAATAAAGATTTCTCAAACATAGTCAAATAAAAGTAGTAACCATAAAGAAAATTATTTATAAATGTGACTACATAAAAATTAAGAACTTCTGTTTATCATAACCTGCCACTAACAGAGTAAAAATCTTGCTACAAACTGGGAGAACATACCTGCAATATGTTTACAGAATACAGAACTACTTTCAATCAATGACAGTAACTATAATGAAAAAATGGGTAAAGGACTTGAACAGTAATTTCTAACAAAAAAGATAATCAAATGGCTAATTAGCATGTGAGAAGGTGGTCAATTTCATTAGTCTTCAGGAAAATGTAAATTAAAACCACAATACCTTAAATGAATTAAAATTCCTAGAATGGCTAAAACTAAAGAGACTACACCAAGTGTTGATAAGAATGGACCACTGGAACTCTCATACACTACTTCTGGGAGTTTAAACTGGGATAAACACTTTGAAACACTTCTAAAGCTGAGCATATGTATCCCCTGTGATCAGCAATTTTGCTCTTAAACATATACCAATCAGAAATGCATACATTAGCATACCACATGACAAGTACAAATTATTCACAGCATAACTATTCTTAATAGTGCAAATGGCCATCAACAGTACAACAGATAAAGAAATGGTAGCTAGTCATGCAACAGAATATTATACAACAATGAAAATGAACTACCTACTGCGATGTGCAAAATATGGATCAATCTCACAACCATAAAGTTGACCAAAAGAAACCAATTAGAAGATAATGCATGGTGTATGATTCCATTTATAGAGATACCAAACACTGGGAAGACTAATACATGGTGTTAGAAGTCAGGATAATGAATATCTTAGGGAAGAGAAGTTAGTGCCTGTGAGTGGACACAAGGGGAACATTTGTGGTGCTGGTATTTTCTAATCATAGTGGTGGCTACATAGTTAGGTTCATTTTGGGAAAATTCAGCGTTGGACACATCATTTGTGTACTTCCTATAGGTATGTTGTGCTTCAATAATGAATTTATGACTTTTAACACCTTTATTGAGGTATTATTTACATATCACAACATTTACCCATTTAAAGTGTACAATTCAATTAGTTTTAATAAATTTATATAGATGTGCCAACCATCAGCACAATCTATTGTTAGATTAGCTATCATTTGTCCCTCTCGTCATCTATCTAAACTTGGTTGAAATCTCACAACAACTACCATCTCTTTTCCAAAATTAGTTATACTTGTGGGATGACATCTTTTATACATCTTTACTATAATTTCAGTGGAGTCTCTGAAAAGGTGAAGATACAGACGTGTGCTTAATTAGTCATATTTTCTGGAAATTTCTAAATTTGTTTTGAATTTGGGGATATGTTTTCAGATAATTCTAGTCCATCTTCTCGACTTTTGATAAATTCTTTTTCTCGAGTCTCGTTCCAGGTGCCTTGACTTTGACTTGGCAATGCGATTCAATTCTATTATATTTTAATAACCACATACTCCACCTTGCTTTGCCGTTTAACATATTTACATGACTCCGGGATTAATTTATAGCTTGAGTTTTTTTTTTTAATTTTATCATGGTACAATATAACAAGAACTGAGCCATTTTAACCATTTTAAGTATACAATTTAGTGACATTAATTACATTCACCATGTTGTGCAACCATCACCATTATCTATTTCCAAAAGTTCTTCACCACCCCAAACAGAAACTCAGTATCCCTTAACCAAGTTCCCTCCTCCTTTCTGGTAACCACTAATAACCTTTGGTCTCCATGCATCTGCCTATTCTAGATATTTCATGTAAGTGGAATCATACAACATTTGTCCTTTTGTTTCTGACTTATTTCACTTAACATAATGTTTTCAAGGTTCGTCCATGTCATAACATGTATCAGAACTTCATTTCTCTTTACGGATAATATTCCATTGTATGGATATACCACATTTTGTTTACCATTCATCTGTTGATGGGCATTTGGGTTGTTTCCACATTTTGGCTATTGTAAATAATGCTGTAATGAACACTGGTATACAAGTATCTATTTCTGTCCCTGCTTTCAAGTCTTTGGGGCATTTACTTTAAAGTGGAATTTTGCTGGGCCATATGGCAATTCTATTTTTTAACTATTTGAGAAACTGTCAAATTGTTTTGCAGAATGACGGTACCATTTTACAATCTCACCAATAATGAATTAGGGTTTCAGTTTCTCCACATCTTTGTCAACACTTTCTGTCTTCTGTTTTTCTAGTAATAGCCATTGTGATGGTTAAGATGGTGTGTCAACTTGGCTGGGCTGTGATTCTCAGTGTTTTAATGTAATCCCTCCCATGATTGAATATACTGTAAGTAGCCAATCAGATGAAAGGGAGTCTCCTTAGGGTTGTGGCCTGCATCTGAATATAAGCAGATGTTCTGGCTTTTTGCTCTCTCTGGATCCTGCAGCTGCCTCCTGTCATCTCATTGCTGGTTCTTGGACTTAAGCTGTCAGCTTATCTGCTGAACTTGGAATTCGTCAATCTTCACAGCCTGTGAGTGGAGCCCTGCTCTCTGACTTGCCGATCTTGGGTTTGCCAGCCCCTGCAGCTACGTGAATCAGGAAATCTTGTGGGCTTGCCTGCTGATCTTGGAATTCGTCAACCTTCACAGCCTGTGAGCAGGAGCCCTGCTCTCCGACCTACCAATCTTGGGCTTGCCAGCTTCTGCGGCTGCATGACTTGGGAGAGGCCTCTACCCTGATCCACGGACTTGGGACTTTCTAGCCTCTACAATCGCATGAGCTGTTTCCTTGATATAAATCTCTCTCTATATATATATTTATACGCTTTACTGGTTTTGCTTCTCTAGAGAACCCAGCCTAAGACAGCCATCCTCTTGTTGTTAGCTGCCGTCGATTCTGACTCATGGCGACCCCATGTCTACCAAGTAGAACTACACTCCATACGGCTTTCAAGGTCATGGCCTTTTGGAAGTAGGTCGCCAGGCTTTACTTCTGAGGTACCTCTGCGTGGGTCTGAACCACCAACCTTTCAGTTAGTAGTCCAGTGTTTAACCGTTTGTGCCACCCAGGAACTCTAATAACCATCCTAGTGGGTGTGAAACGGCATCTCATTGTGGCTAACTTTTGTGATTCACTTATGACTAATGATGTTGAGCATCTTTACATATACTTATTGGCCATTTATATATCTTCTTAGGAGAAAGTCTATCAAGTTTTTTGCCCATTTTGAATTGGGTTGTCGTTTTAATGTTGAGTTGCAGGAGCTCTTTACATATTGTGGATATTAAACCCTTATCAGATATATGGTTTCCAATTATATTCTCTGATTCTATAGGTTGTCTCTTCACTTTCTTGATAAAATCCTTTCATGCACAAAAGCTTCCAATTTTATTGAGGTCCAGTTTATCTTTATTTTTATCATTTTCTATTTATTTTTATCTTTTTGCTCATATTTTTGGTGCTATAACTAAGAATCCATTGTCAAAAACAAAGTCTTATGCTATTTATTAAGATTTTTATGGTTTTAGTTCTTACATTAGGTGCCTGAGTGGTGCACACGGTAAAACACTCGACTACTAGCTGAAAGGTTGGCAGTTTGAACCCACCCAGAGGCACCTCGGAAGATAGGCCTGGTGATCTGCTTCCAAAAGGCCACAGACTTAAAAACCCTATGGAGCAGTTCACACATGGGGTCATCACAAGTCAGAATCAATTTAACAGCAACTAACAACAACAGTTCTTACATTTAGGTCATTGATCCATTTTGAATTAATTTTTGTATATGGCACGAGGTATGGATCCAAATTTATTCTTTTGGAGACCCAGCTATCCTTTCCCCATTGTGTGGGCACAGCATCCTCATCAAAAATCAATTGACCATAATGGACCACGGAACCGCAGCCTCTACCAACCTGAGACCAGAAGAACTAGATGGTCCCCAACTACCACTACCAACCACTGTGACTAGGATCACAGTTCCTGGTTAAATTCGGGGAAAAAATATGTAGAACGAAATTCAAATTCATAAAAAAGACCAGATTTACTGGTCTGAGAGAGACTGGAGGAACCTCGGAGACTACGGCCCTTAGATACTCTTCTAACTTTGACATGAATCCATTCCCACAGATCACCTTTCAGCCAAATAGATGGGTCTATAAATAAACAACACACGTGAGGAAAGTGCTCCTTAGAACAATCATTTACATTAGACCAAAAGGACAACATATGCCCAAAAGCAAAGATGATAAGGCAGAAAGAGGCAGGAAAACCAGACAAATGGAAATGGGGAACTCAGGGTGGTAATGGGGAGAGTGCTGACCAACCAATGTCATGGAAAAATCTGTGTATAAACTATTGAGTGGGAAATTAATTTTCTCTGTAAACCTTCATCTAAAGCACAACAATTAAAAAAGTCAATTGACCATAGATGTATGGATTTATTTCTGGACTCAATTCTATTCCATTGGTCTACATGTCTATACTTATACCAGTACCAGTACATTTTTATTACTGTAGCATTATAATACATTTTAAAATCACAAAATGTGTGTCCTCCTAATTTAATCTTCCTTTTTCAAGAATGTTTTCTTTCTTTAGGGCCTCTTACAATGCCATATAAATTTGAGAATCGGCTTTTCCATTTCCACATAAAAGGCTGTTGGAATTTTGATAGGGATTGCATTAAATGTGTGGATCACTTTGGACAGTACTGACATCTTAACAATCCTATATACAGATACACATTATCTTATGATAAATATTGAGTAAGGAACATTCCTACAAGTACATGAAGAGACTCATCTTGGCAGGGTCAACACCTAATAAACTCATCAAGAGAAATTTCTCTATATATACTCATTCCTGGAAGTTCTCCCAGATGAATATTTCATTGAGCTTGAAAGGAAATGAGAAACTCTGAGTAATATCCAACAAATATGCACCAAGTATGGTAAGTGGTAGCTATCACCAGTGTTAACTTTTACTAAGCATGTGAGATTAAGAAGGATGCATCCAATAGCTAAAAAGCGTCCAAGAGAAGGTACCTGAGAGACATCTGAATAGAAGTGACTACACATCTGGAACTCAGGAGAGAGGATGAAAGAAAAATTGTTTGGAACTTACCAATGTTTAGGTAGGAACTGAAACCACAGATTTAGATTTTATCACTGTAGGAAAGTATAGGGTGGCTATGAGTCAGAATCAACTCAACAGCAATGGGCAAAAAATGGGCAGGAAAGTATGTGGAGAAATAGAAAGAAAAGGAGAATGCGTTGGAAAATACCTACGTTTAGGGGCATACATATAGAAAACCACCACCTGTCTATCATTTTCTCATACTGTTGTGGCTTGTGTGTTGCTGTGATGCTGGAAGCTATGCCACTGTTATTTCAAATACCAGCAGGACTACCCACGGTTGACAGGGTTCAGTGGAGCTTCCAGACTAAGACAGACTAGGAAGAAAGGCCTGGTAATCTACTTCCAACAAATAGTGAATGAAAACCCTGTGGATCACAACAGAATACTGTCCGACATAGTGCTGGAAGATAAGCCCCCTAGGTTGCAAGGTACTACATAATAGCATCAACAATGGACTGAAACAAACCAACAATCATAAAGATGGTGCAGGACCAGGCAACATTCCTTCTGTTATACATAAAGTCGCTGTGAGTCAGAGCCAACTCAATGGCAACTAACAACAACAACACATATCGAAGAAGCCATGGCCATTTAGGAGACAGATTTAAGAAAAATAACAGGAGAGCTAAAATAGAAACCAAGAAGATGAAGAGTGTACAAAAAGGGGGGCTTGTTAAGAGTAACAAGAGTAGTAGGTAGATTGCATAAGAAAGAGACAGAAAAGTATGTTTTCTTTATTGCCTCAGTTAGCGACAGCTGTGTTGGCCCCAGTCAGCTTCACGCCTCCTTATTTGCTTGTTACGTTTAAATCGGCTACCTGGAAGATTCTAGGATTTTTAGAATTCTCAACTTCATGGTAGACTCCATCATACAATTTAGCCACTGTGTGTGAAAAGCATGAATATTACAGTAATATTTTTATTAAGATGTGTCCTTTGATATTCATTGTCTACATCAACTATGCTGAGTTCATTTTTCATCTCCTAAATCGTGAGGTCATTTTCTACCCATACGCTTATATAAAAACAATGTAGTTGATATTGTACTTCTGGTTAGAGAAGACATTTTAAAACGCATGTTCACCGGTGCTCACTGTGTGCGCTCCACAATACCCTCCACACCACACAATCATCTCCACCACAATTACAGATGGAGACTGGGAGCTATTTTAGTAGCTGCCTGGTTACGTTAGCTCTAAGAACAGGGGTGATCTCTATGTCCTGCTCATACCTTTAATAGATCAGTCTTCCTCAATTCTATAAAACTCTTTCTCTTTCAAACAGTTCTAGGCATACTCATAAGTTTATACCAAAATGTTAAGGAATACGTACTGATAATGTCACACGTTTGCTTAAAATATTCAAGGACCATCCTTGGCTTCTAGGCTGAAGCCCTTACCAGGGGCTTCATTATCTAGTCCAGGACTATCTTTGCAGGGCTGTATCTCATACTGGTACTACAGGCACTTGCTCCTCTTGTTGACACTTTCTCCCATCTTCATACCTTTGAATGTGCTGTTCCCTTTTCCTGAAATTCTCTTTCCCTACCTATCAACACGCGCTAAAATTTTCACGTGCATTTTTCATTTGCACACACAAAGTCATGAATTCTGACAACAGTCCTGAGGTTCAGGTATCAATATCCCCAATTTGTATATTGTAAGCAAAGGCTCTGAGAGATAAAGTTGCCCAAGGTCACGTACCTAGTAAGCAGTAGGACTAGGATATGAACACAGGCAGGCTGACCACTATGGCCATTATCTTAATGTGCACACTCTGCTCCCTCTTCTCCTCCTACCCTGGATAAGTTTTACTTGACCTTTGATGCTCAGCTGTGCACTCTCAGAAGCTTAGAATCCTGACTCTGTCATAGTTCTTATCATACTATGATATAATTGTTGACTGATCAGTTTGTCTAAAATAATAAATTGTTCACCTCTTGAGAATAAGAGCTGTGCCATCTGCCTCTACATTCCTGTGAGGTAACTGGCCATATTTCTGCTATAAATTAAAAAGCTAAGGTTCAACAGATAAGGGAGTGGCACAGCATTACCTTACTGGTGCTGGACCTTGAACCCAGCACCTCTGACACTCAACCACAATTTCCTTCCCTTCCTTTTTTAATAAAAGGACACAACAAAGTCACCCTAAAATATGAAGGCCCTTGTTTGGAAAAAATAATCATGTAATCAATATGTGTAAATAAATAATATACCTAAGGCACTAAAATGATGAAATTGAATAGTGCAAAAACAGAATTATGATTCCATTTTATAAAGGCGAATACCGCAACATTATCCAAATGGAATCATGTTATTAATATTGTAATACATCAGCCTGAAGTAAGAAGAGCTACAGTTAGACGTATCAGTACAAGTAAATGAATTTTTTATTTCATGGATTGCCCATTTTAAAATTTAAAACAATTCTGGACCTTCAAAAAGTATCTGAAGATAGGTAAGCACAGAAAATCATCAAGCTGATGATAGCTTAGCATTCATGTATGTATATGTCAGTCTTTGAACATAGTAAATAAACATTAATCTGTAACAGACATGCCTAACAGAAACCATATAACAGAAATTTTATGAACAATGTTTTCAAAATATGAACCATGTATTTATGCTTTGTTAACCTATTAAAATTAGGAATTTTCTAGACATCTTTCTCCATGCTTAATGGCATGCAAAGCCTGCTTTGTGTCATCAACGTACATGAGTAATTAGAACAGCTGGAGCTAACTATGGTTTGAATGTTGGATAGTACAGATTTTCAAGATAACTCATACAAGTCAACCTCTAAATCCAAGCTGTTGTTGTTGTTGTTGTTGTTTTACCATTTCAGAATACAAAAGCTCTTCTTGTACTTCTTCATAATGCTATGACTTATGTTCTGCTGTGTTTACCGCCTGTGTTTACTGCTCTTAGAATACTGAAGAGGCTTGATATTGAACACTGAATAGTGTGACATGGAAATAAACTCACTTAACCACTTGTGAAGATGACACCCATACAGACAGATATCATGAGCTTTCACAAAAGAAGACAGAAAGCACAGAGATAAATACATTCTAAACAGAAACATAATTCTTCCTGAATCTGAAAACTCTAGACAACTGATGACGTGAACATGCTATGGACTCTGCAAACGTCACCTATTGTCTCAATTCATGTACCGAAATCAATCTCGAACACCATAATCAATTTTAGAATTGGCATCTTGGCACTAATTACATTAGCACTACATTTTAAATCTGCAAGTCCACTTTTAAAGTCTTTAAGTATACCAGGAACTCTTCAATAAAAGTCATATTTCCTCAAATTCTAATTGGTTACATTATTCACTGAAATGTCTGGAGTAAATACCTAGGGAAACATCTCATTTTTTATGACCATTAGCTACGGCTTTCAGATCCTACTTATGTAACAGAAATCATTAATTTCCCTTACCTTTCTTAAAACCACCACAGATCTCTGCCTAAAATGAATACAGAAGTGCACAAAAGAGTCACCCTTCTTTTATTTCTGTGAAGATCTGGCAGACAATTAGAAATGAGGACTTGATTTGATGATTGGGAATGTTTATGGGGCTCTGAAATTTCCAGACTTAAGGGCATATGAAACTGAGAATAAAAATTAAAGGTACAAATCTTTTCTTTCTATTCCTCTGCTAATTTTAACCTCTAAGATGATGTTTAATATGGGTCAAAGAAAAAAAAAAAAAGAAGAAGGGGACACTTCCAGTCAAAGTAAAGGGATATCTATGACGTTCTCATAGAGATGGACTAAAATAAGGCTATGAGCTCACGGTATTCAGTTTCAGGAGATCTGGAATTCTCTCAGTGTCATTTCTATTCCAGTGAAGTGAACACTATCCGACGAGGCACACTTCACAGTTCAAGCAAGGTACAGAACATGCTGTATGTTAATCTCTGAAGTCCTTATGAATTTCCATGTTTTGGAATTGAAATGTAGTGCTTCATAGAAAACCAAAAGATAAGTCTAAAATGTATAAATTTAGTTGTCATTAACCAAAAATGAGTTCACATAAAAAAGAAGATAAAGCAGACACACAGATGGATAACAGAAAGAGAGAGAGACAAAAGGAGAGAAAAATTTTTAAAGGATTCATCTCATATTGTGTATTTAGTTAAGTCCTTTCAGGAGAAGGCATTACCTGAAATGACACCACAGTAATGACTGTGAGGAGCGGGCTTCTCTGTGACTTTTTCCTCCATGGACCTTTTCTGCCTATATACACGGTGTGGGTGACCTGTTATGGCCATTGTGTCATTGAGTGGCTCAATAAATATGAAGTCCTCATTGATCTGTATAAATCCCATCTGGAATACATAATATAAAAAGATATGTAAGCAATACCGTTAAAGAAATTACTTTCTAGGTTCCCCTACTCACATACTCTCTGTTTATCTTTCACATATGTGCAAATGAAAGTTTTCTATTGAAGCTATTTTAGCAACTCCATTTGTATGGTAACTATCTTCCATCTTCCCATTTTATTACTTCATCTTTATGTATTTTATTGCACTAGCATAAACTTCATTTAGTCAGTCTTAGCCTGTGTGGGTGGGAGGCTAGATGCCAGCAACAGATGCACAGTAAAAGTTTCTGGAATGTTAAAGGCTGACTTTGGGAGACCCGTGGGGTCACTTACATGTATATCATGTACAGAAAGAGCAATACAATTTTTAATTGCATACATCCCACAGTCCAACTTTTTGATATTCATTATTTAGGAGACTAACATTGAAATTAATGTATGAAATATTCTTAAAGGCTTCTTCTAAACCTTCTTCATTAAAAATCCTTTGGACAATAAATTAGAGTAAAAAGGAAGCATCACTAACTTAAATTTTATTTCATACAGTGCCATGTTTTTAAGTCACTCAATTGGGAGCAGAGAGTTGAAACCATAAAATACAATTATGCTCAATTAAAAAAAGAAAACTATAACAAATAGATACCCTTGTAACATATCTAGGCTAAATATTTTTGTGTAATTTTAATATAATCTCCAATTAATTATTTTGTATTCCATACATGTCTTGCTTCTCTCAAAATCTAAAATTAGCTTCAATTCTAAAGTAGTTCCATGATATCCAGAAAATTTTCCCTTGAGCCTAATTTGATGAGGGAAAAAAAAAAGTCTTAAATATGAAAACATAAAATACTGGTCACTAAAGATGTAGTATAATCTACGTGTGAATTGAGGATAAATGCTGTCACAATATATATCATCGATCTAGATTGTGAAAATATAGAAATATTTTATTCTTGTCTTATATATTATTGTAATTCTGAGATTCATTCAGTATTTAAGGCCACTAATAAAACCAAGAGTGTGGCTGGTAATTAAGATAACTTTTATGATGCTCATTGAGAAAATCTCAGGTAAATATGCTCAGTTTACCTAAATCATAAACTTACATCATTTGATACAGTCTTTCAATGGATTATAAACAAAGATTTATACCACTAAACCTTATAAAATTTAATTGCATACCAATGTGTAAATTTTAATGACCCCAAGAACAGATTCTTGGCTTAGATTATTTGGGTTTATAACTTACTACTACTCATGTAACTATGAGAAAATTACAGTGCCTTTATCTGAACAACTTCATAGAGTTGTTTTGAGTATTAAATTTTTCAAAATGCATGTAATGCTCTTATCATAGGACCTGACACTGGGTAAGTACTCAATAAATATTTGCTCTTATTTTCATTTTAATGACGAGAATGATCACACTAAATATGAGCACCCAAACAGGGATGAATAAATACTAAATATGAACTGAAGAACTCATATACTCCAAAGAATCAAAGTTTTTTAATATTTGTTTCTAGTATTAGAATATTAAATAGTCTAAAATAAATGCTTTTTTTAAAAATTAAGATTCGAAAACCTCTTCATAATATGTAATTATCTGCTATGTTAGAAAACAGGAATGATACTTTTAAAAAGAAAATAAAATGTTGGAATAAATATAAATGGTGACTCATTCATTCAACATATATTTACTGTCTGAGCACTGTATGCCAGACTCAGTTCACTCTGGGGCATATTTAGAACCAAGTGACACAATGTGGACTTTCTGACTATGACCAGAACTCTAACCAATGGTGCAGAAAAGTGCTCCCACTTGAGTCAGTATCTTTCAGGGCACTGAGTTACTTAAGCAGACATGCAGAAAATCTTGAGGTTTTCTGTTTCCCCACAAAGGGCTCACTTTTTCCATTAACAAAGAAGATTATGTTATCTTCACCGTGATTTGACAAGCCATGGAAGACTACAAACCCCAAAATAATCTCTCTGCACAAGTGTCACTGTGTTCAACAATCCACAATTTGGCAGCATCTGCTTTAGCGCAAATATTTTCCTCTCAGTTTTAGAATGGACAGTTTCAAAGAAAGAAAAGATTATGTGAATTAAAGTGGCTCTAGGCTTTATTAAAAATACATTTAAATTATATACATGTTTTTCTTCCAGATTGATTTTTTAGAAATTTCTTTTCAAAATTATTTTATCTATATCCACTCCTCACCTGTCAGCATGGTTAGGTTCCAAAGACCAGGTCATTATGCAAAAATCAGCATTATGTGAAAATGGAGGATGACCACATCAGATCACTAAATGGAAGATGACTACATCATAACTGCCAGAGTACATCATTATCTAATTGCCAAATCACTGAGAATCATGACCCATAACCTTAATCATCACAGCCAGCGTTACTGTCACCTCACAGCTCAACATTCGTTACTGCCAGACGTACATTGTTAATGTGCAAAATAGTTGGATGGTAGATTTTTTACTAATGTCGTAAATGCAAAATGTTGGCTAATTAGATCGTTTGATAACTGAGGAGTAGGTACATTTTGAGACATTTCATGCAAATATCTGGAAATGCATTATGTTAGCTGTTTCATACCTTAGTTCTGTCATCATATGCATTTTCTCATATGATGGAATCTGTTCCTTCGTCATTTAAAGTTATTGTTTGACTTGACAATTTTGTAAGACTACCAGTTTTTTGCAAATTATGACTGCGTATGTGAAAATAAACTGCCAGACATTTATTTCTTATTGGTTCTAGTATTTTATTTTTTCTCTATTTAGATGTCTCTATGCTTTTTATAGGAGCCCTGGTCATTCAGTGGTTAAGAGCTCAGCTGCTAACCAAAAGCTCGGCAGTTTGAATCCACCAGCTGTTCCTTGGAAACCATATAGGGCAGTTCTACTCTGTCCTATAGGGTCGCTATGAGTCAGAATTGACTTGAAGACAACAGCTTGGGTTTTTTTTAATGCTTTACACAATGACTAACATAGGTCTCCATGTAAGTGTACTGATACTTGCCCCAACTTCTAATCACCACATGAAAATTGATATGATCAATGTGCAAGGATGTTTACATATTATTGCTTCAATTCACCAAATAGAAAAGGTTCATTTGTTCAAATTCAAATTATGATCTATTAAATATATTAACAGATTCTAAAACTCTAATCTAAGCATAACTAAAAAATTAGATGGAACACAAAGCAATCTACACTCTAATCTTTTCCCCACTCCTCCTGTGACAACTATTTCACTTTCATGCCTCACTTCCTGCTCACTTACATAACGGAAGTACTACTGTAATTGTCTCAAGTTTTCTCTTGCTTCTTTCTTGCAAATCTCTTTTTTTTCATTTTCTAGAATCTTGGTTTTCCAGGTGAACTTTCAGTGAACTGACTGAAGGTATATATCTAAGGCTCTATAGAACAAATATTTATTGACCACTCATTAAGTTCTGAATATTGTAAGAGGCTGTCACATTATGCTGTTAAAAAATAAATAGCATATTACAAAAACTAAATACAATAAGTGCAAAAGGACATGAGGAAGGCAATTGTTGTTAGCAGCCATCAAGTTGGCCCAGCTCATGGCAACCCCATGCACAACAGAACGAAACTCTGCCCAGTCCTGTGCCATCTCATGATAGATGGGGATCTGATCATCATGATGCACAGGGTTTTCATTGGCTACTTTTCAGAAGTAGATCACCAGATCTTTCTTCCTAGGCCATCTTAGTCTGAAAGCTCCACTGAAACGCATTCAGCATCACAGCAACATGCAAGCCTCTACTGACAGACTGCTGGTGGCTACACACGAGCTGCACTGGCCAGGAATCAAACCTGGGTCTCCCACATGGAAGGCAAAAATTCTACCACTGAACCACCAGTGCAGATCATTATAATTCCAGGATATGAGAAAGGTCTTGAAAGATAGTAGGACTTGAACAAGATTGGGGCAAGGAGGAATTATGAGAGAAGGGATTATGAGAAAGGACAAAGAGGATGTGGAGCTCAGGAAACAGTTGGAGAAGATGTCTGGCTTTAGCAGAGAACTGGAAAACTTAGCCAGTAAATAAGACGCACCCATATTACTGGGGACAGCAAATGACAAAGTTCTTATAAGAAAAGAAAGTCAATGTCTTGGATGTTTTAGGACGATTAGGCTATCATACATATAAAATGAATTGGAGAATTAGTGCAATACTGGAAGAAGCATGTGTGTTTTATTTCTAAACAGTAGTAACAGAAGTTGTTGAAAGGATTTGGCATAGGTATGTGCTTGTAAAAACATGTTATGCAAACGTCTAAGGCTGTATATGATCTGACTTCTATGCAAGTTTGGTCTTATTTTCTAAGTATTTTCTTACATGACAATGTTATAAGGTACACATCGTTAAGTAAATCAAGTATTATATAGTTTAAAATGTAAGCATAACACACAGCTAACATCAATTATAATGTTGTTGTTGTCAGATGCTGCTGAGTCAATTTTGACTTGTAGCGACCCCATGAGACAGAGTAGAACTTCCCCATAGGGCTTGCTAGGCTGTAATCTTTATGGGAGCAGACTGCCAGGTCTTTCTCCTGCGGAGACACAGGGTGGGTTCAAACCACCAAACTTTCAGTTAGCAGCCAAGCACTTAGCTGTTGTGCTGCCAGGGCTTCTTCAATTATAAGTTTGTTTTATGCTTTATTCAAATAAAAATTCATTTTAATATTACTGTAAATGGAAGTGATTTCTCATGCATTATATATCGACATTTATGTATGTAAATACACCTCTCATACCATATCTATCCTTTCATTTCACCATTCTAAAACACACTTTCTGACTTAACTCTTTAAATGTCTTCCTTTTATGCCCACAAGGATATACTCCAAATTCTTAATGAAAAAATATACATAAAGCTTTTTACGGTAAACACTTGCCTACCTCTCCAGTTTCATTTCTGCTACACAAACTTCATATGTAACCATACAAAC